TTTTGGTGAGCTGAGATCGCGCCATTGCACTCCAGCCTGGGCAACAAGAGTGAGACTCTGTCCCCAGAAAAGAAAAAAAAGAAAAAAAGAAAGAAAAAAAATAATTTGCTTTTAATATCCTTTATACTAAATTTTTAAAACCCTCAGGTCATCAAGTGGATTCACATTAAAGAATGCTGGCTAATTATTTCTGCCTAAAGCATTGGAATCCTACAGCTGGTTACACTGAATTACTTAAATTATTGGAGCATTGGGGTAGTTGAGTTCATGGAGGTTCCTGGAGTGTGGTGCACCTGGAAAGGGCATGGAAACAGAAGCCCCTTCCCACATGCCTTGCCCTACACATCTCTTCATCTGTATCCTTTATAGTAGCTTTTATAATAGACTGGTAAATGGGAAAATCCCTTTGGCCTTTAAATTGAAATGGAAAATAGCCATAAAGTGGAACAATATGTACCTGAAAGACTCTAGTCACTATACTGCATCATCAAACTTAATCGGTTAACGCAAACTTATTATGTAATAACACCAGAGTACTAGGAGGGAACAATGCATGAGATGATTACAATAAGTGCTTAATACAATGCCTCACACAAAGTTGCTTCTAAATAAATCATTACAAGCAAAATATAAAAACTTGGAAAATGCAATAATGTAGATGTTAAACTAAAATTTGAAAGATTTAACAGTTGAATACCCTCCACCACCCTAATCAAGATATAGAACATTTCCCTCACTCCAAAAAGGTCCCCCATACCCCTTTCCAACAAATTACCTGTCTCTTCAAGACAACCACATGCAGGCAGCATGACCTCCCAGATATCCACGCCCTAATGTCTGGAACCTGTGAATACGTTACCTTACATGGCAAAAGATACTTTAAAGACGTTGAGATGGGGAGACTATCCTGGATTACCTAGGTGGGCCCAATGTAACCTCATGAGTCCTTAAACGTAGAAGAGGAAGACAAAGAGCAAGTCAGAGAGATAAAGCGGTAGAAGAGGCAGCAGAGAGTTGAGCCATGAAAACCATGTGACCTGCTATTGTTAGCCTTGAAGACACAGGAAGGGGGGCACAGGCAAAGGAATGCAAGTGGCCTCTAGAAGTTGGGAACGCAGCAAGCAAACAGGGACCAGAGTCCTACCCCCCTAAGGACTAAATTCAGCCAACAACCTGAATAATCAGGGAAACAAGTTTTCCCCTAGAGCCTCCAAAATGAAAAGCAGCCCTGCTGACACCTTGGGTTTAGTCCAGGGAGACCCACTGGGGACTTATGACCTACAGAACTGAAAAATAATAAATTTGTGTTAAGCCAAAAACAAAAGTAAATTACCATACAGAAAATATAACAAAAGAACAGAGAAATCCCATCAGTAAGGCTTTTTCCCTGGGAAACTGGTTAGGCAGGGGCATGACTTAGCAAAAGTTTACACTTTTTTTTTTTTTTGAGAGGGAGTCTCGCTCTGTAGTCCAGGCTGAGAGTGCAGCAGCGCAATCTCGGCTCACTGCAAGCTCCGCCTCCTGAGTAGCTGAGACCACAGGTGCCCACCACAACGCCTGGCTTTTTTTTTTTTTTTTTTTTTAAAGTAGTAGAGACGGGGTTTCACCTTGTTAGCCAGGATGGTCTCGATCTCCTGACCTCGTGATCTGCCTGCCTTGGCCTCCCAAAGTGCTGGGATTACAGGCATCAGCCACCACACTCGGCTGGGTTTACTTCTGAGGTTTGGGTAAGGAACCTAAAACTTCTGGTAGGTACAGAAAAACCTGATGGATTTATACCAAAGGATATACCTATCGAATGTTTAATAAAACTAATCTTGGAATCCTATATGTGCAAAAATTAGTATAGAAACTGTGCTAAGCAGGTGTCTGTTTACTCAAGGCTGGGTATGCTTCTACAATGTGGCTTCTAGCACAGCCTTTCTCATCTGTCCATGAATGGAAGTTTCCTTCCAGTCATGGGAGAGTGGCTCTCATGAGCAGCTCTGACCCTTCCCTCTTCCCTTCCCCTGTATTCTGAAAAGCTCCTGCTGGGCATGAAGTCGGAGGGAGAAAGGAAGTTCCCAGAGAATGGGACTTCTTACATGCAGGAATCATAATATAAATGTGTGTATCCATTAGGTGCCTTGAACCCAGATCGAGAGACGACGGCTATGTGGCTCAAGCTAGTGGATTTCCAATTCCCCTCTTGCACAACATGCAGTCCATAGGATCAGCTATGAGCCAGCATTGATGGAACAGGGAAAGTGCCTGCTACTTCAGCAGGTGAGTCCTAGAATGATGGGGAACCCCTGGTATGCAGTGTGTTTTCACTGTCCCAAAACTATCCAGGTATCTCAGCCCATTGAGAAACCTCAATTTCTGGGTTGCTTACCTCAGCAACTAACAGGGGCCGTAAAGCAGTTGATTCTGTTCATTGCAACTTTTTTTCAAAAATGTGTATGGATTGTTTTTCTCTTCCTAAGAACTAAATTAACACTGTAGTGTTTTTTTCTGTTATATGATCCCTTTTCAGCAAGGTCAATAAACATTTATTAAGAGTTGTGGTCAGGTGCGGTAGCTTACATCTGTAATCCCAGCATTTTGGGAGGCTGGTGGATCACTTGAGGCCAGGAGTTCAAGACCATCCTAGGGAACACGGCGAAACCTCATTTCTACTAAAAATACAAAAATTAGCTGGGCATAGTGGTGCACGCCTGTAATCTCAGCTACTTGAGAGGCTGAGGCACAAGAATTGCTTGAACCTGGTAGGCGGAGGTTGTAGTGAGCCGAGATTGTGCCACTGCACTCCAGCCTGGTGACATAGTGAGACTGTCTCAAAAAGAAAAAAAAAATTGTGTGTGTGTAACAATAAAAACAGGTAGCAGTCAATGAGTTATTGTTCTAGGACTGTTTCTACCCCCTTTACAAATATAAATCATTGATTGCAACAGCTCTGTGATAGAGTATTCCTATTTTACAGATAAGGAAACTGAGACATGGGGAGATGAAATGGTTTCCCTGAGAGTCATAGGGCCAGAAAGTAGGTAAGCTAGGGTTAGAATCCAGGTTGGCCTGATTCCACAAGTCCTAGTCTGGACCAGCAAGATAAAATTTAACAAATTATGTAGAAGCTATCATGGTAGACCAGGTTGAATTCGTTTAGGGCCACTCATCAGGTTGGGAGCAGTGTGTACTAAGGAGTTTTGAAGGTACTGAGATGCAAGTTTGGATTCCAGCATAAATTACCTGACATTTGAGCCCAGGCTTCCCCATAAAGTTGTGATAATGGTATACTTGCTTTGCAAGGTAATCACAATGGTTAAATTTAACCTGTACAATGGTTGGTGTAGAGTAAGTTGTAGCCACTATGTTGTTATTTCATGATATGTCCAGATATAACTTTTATAATTAACCCACCAACAGCCTTAAGCAGTGTTGTTTAGACTGGAGTTTGGGGCTCCCTAGGATTCTATTAATATATTCTTGGGAGATCTGCAAGTTCTTAAGTTTGAAAAAGTGAGCTAGAGCATTCTTGTACTGTGGACACACACAGTTACTTCCACTCATTTCTGAAGCAAAAATAGGGTGGCAGGAAATAGTACCCACTTAGAAAAATAATGAGTTCTCTTACACAACAGCTATATGTACTACTCACACCTGCGTAAATAACGGAACACAAGATGGAGAGAAAAGTCACCAGAGGAAACATAGCCCACACAGGGAGGCTCAAGGCAAATATTCCACATGTAGATGCAACATGGATAATGCCCCTGACACCACATGTGTGGTGCTTCATGACAGGACATGAGAAGGTTCTGGAGAGCTGAATACATATAGCCTCTCACCTCCCTGGCTGGCAATCTAAGCTATACTTTCCCACTAAGGATCATCGCTGGGGCTTTCGAAACAGAACAATGGGAAACAAGGTACCCTCATCTCCTTTCCAAAAGAAGGTAAATGCGCTTACTCAGAAATGTACTGCAGAAATGCCAACATCGTGACAGTTTCTTATATATACATTTATATATACTTTTTACATTTCCTGCTTTGTAAAAATAAAGGATAAGGAAGAAGAATCAATGAATATTTTCCCAGTGGAAGGGATGGAATTAAAACATCTGAAATAAAAAATTAACATTGCTATCTTTAAATGAATTTCTTTGCTAGAGACTGTCTAGCTTTAAAAAAATTCTAGATAAAGTCTCTACGGGAGCCTGAATGTAAATTAATTTGTCTTTCGTCAGATGATTGGAAACAGAAATGCAAGAAAGCTGACGAAGACCATAATTTTTAAAAGCTTAGCCAAACTGGCTAAAGTCTGAATTTCACAATAGTTTATATTTTTCTTCAGGTGGGATCATCCTGGCAATGCACGAATGTGCCATCTGGTTCACAGGGAAGCTCCACTCTCCCACTAGATATGCCTGTGGGTGAGTGATTCTGGTGTTGCTGTCCAGCTACCTCTGCCTTGAGGTCTAACCTAGCCTGCCTTTCCCCTTCCCCCACATTTTTGGGGAAATCATTAACCCGTGCTCAGTAAGACCTTGCAGCTCCTCACCATGGGACAAGCTGCAAGCTGCACGGAGCTTTCACGTGAGAAGCAGTTTGATAGCAAACCTGGATCTGCAATTCCCAGGGGCTGCCCTCATGGAATTTTAATTGGGGGCTATTGAAATTCCCTTTGGCTTTCTCACAGCCTATCACTGCCTATGAGTCATGTTACTTATTGTCAGTTCCTTAGGCCTCTTGTGTTCCTCAGTTGCTACTGTTGTGGTACAACTTCTTGGTATCTTTTCTTTTTTTTTTCTTTCTTTTTTTTTTTTGAGACGGAGTCTCGCTCTGTCGCCCAGGCTGGAGTGCAGTGGCGCAGTCTCGGCTCACTGCAAGCTCCGCCTCCCAGGTCACCCCATTCTCCTGCCTCAGCTTTCCCAGTACCTGGGACTACAGGCGCCCGCCACCACGCCCGGCTAATTTTTTGTATTTTTATTAGAGAGGGGGTTTCACTGTGTTAGCCAGGATGGTCTGGATCTCCTGACCTCGTGATCTGCCCACCTCGGCCTCCCAAAGTGCTGGGATTACAGGCGTGAGCCACCGCGCCCGGCCTTTTGGTATCTTTTAAAAGCACTCGTCAGAAGACTACGGTGAGTTTTGTGCACCCCAAATACGGTTAAATTCAGTTTTTAAGTTTCAGCTGCACTGAAAGCCACTGTCACTTTGAGGGCCTACCTGGGACCCCTAAATGCATTTACATTTTAAGTCAGAACTTCCCCAACTCTTCTTGTTTGCTGAAAATCTGTTTAACTGTTTTCACATGATGTGTTAATAAATGTCATTGTATTCACAGAGATTATTCCAAGAAGATTAAAGGTCATGCTAGCCCATTTGGATCTTATAAATCGCAAGTGTCCTTGAACTCAGGTAAATTCCTGCAAAATTGGAATGTTTCTCGAATTGCTTTGAGAAAATTTTATAACCAAAGGACACAGCTTTTTAAAAAATTGTCTTTTAACTAACAATTTTTAAGGAACTTTCCAGAGGGAAACACCAGGAGGAATTCAAGCACAAGCACAGGCGCTCAGTGCACACACACACACACACACAGAAATGAGGATCTATGAAAGTGCTTCTCTGCACTCATGAGAATGGATCACAGATGATCTGCTATCTCCAGTCTTTAAACACAGCCCTCTTCATATGAATGATATCCTCTGAAGGGCACCGAGGCCTCCGGAATTAAGGAAGCCTGTAATTCTTCCTACTACTAAGCCTGTAATTCTTCCTTATCTCCTAAGAGACCTTTTCCTCAGTGCCTCACAGAAATGGCAAGATCACCACCAACAGCATGCCTTATGCAGGAATGAAGTGGCGATATATATTTTTTAATTTTTATTATACTTCTAGGGTATTTTATTATAGTTCTAGGGTACATGTGCACAATGTGCAGGTTTGCTACATGTGTATACACGTGCCATGTTGGTGTGCTGCACCCATTAACTCGTCATTTACATTAGGTGTATCTTCTAATGCTATCCCTCCCCTCCCCGAAGTGGTGATATTTTAAAAATCATCTTCTGAATACGGACTTTGTGCCCTACACTTCTCGTGTGTCATCTCAGTTGTCTCTACCTCACAGTCCTTTGAGGGAGGAATATATATTCCCAATGTTACACACTTCCGAATTGCTTTTCTTGCTTTTTCTCTATAGCGCTTTCACTTTCTAATATATAATTATTTGTTTTATTGGACTGTCCTCATTAGAATGTAAACTTCAGTGAGGCAGGCTATTCTTGTCTCTTTATTCTCTGCTGCTTTCCTGGAATCTAGAATAAATGCGTCAATGAATGAATGAAGTGAGGCCCAGACGACCAGTGAGTGACAGAGGTTTGAACCCAGGCTTATGTGCTGTGCTGATGCACTAGATAAGCAATGGCACTTGTGAAGATTAGGATCTACAGCATATTCTAAGGGAGAGAGAAGACGCAACATTTAGTGAATGGTTGACTGATGAAGAGTTGGGTGCAAAGAAAACCACTGGTGTGTAAAAGGAGCAGGGAAAGTAGCCTAACTTTTGATCTTTGACCTCTGTAGGGAGGATGCAACAAAAAACGTGAGGCTGGAGAAAGCCTGGAGGTCAAAATTCAAAATGCTTCCCTTGAGATTCTTCATATGTGGGCAGGGAATACCACGTGGAGGTGAGTATAGTGTCCACAACACTATATATAATCCGTGCATGTGGGCATCCTTAAGAGTCTATAAAGGGTTTGGCCTCACGTCTTGACACTCTCCGTTGCTACTGTGTGACCTTGGGCAAACTCCTTAATCTTTGTAAATGGGGATAATTTACGTCTTTTCTGAAGACTGTCCGAAATTATGCACGTAAACACAGAAACAAGACGATACCCATCGTGTAGTAAGTGCCTAATAGGCATTGTTAAATCAGTTTGCTGTGACTGGAGAACACAGTGTTTCAAAGGTAACCAGTAGGGAGAAGTCAGAAATGTAGCTGGGTCCATTCTGATAATCGTGCTAAAGGATTTTGATCCTGGTCTACGATAACACCTCCTTTACTTGACAGCTGAATTGGAACGGATTAAATCGGTTAGGGTAGTACCTCAGAGGGCTTTCCCGGAGATGAGCGAGTGCAGGCGGGCTGCCAAGCAAGCCTCAAGGGGCATCTGTGGGATGCCCAAACCTTGCCCCCAAACCGAGGCCTTTTCACAGATCCTCCATTCAGAAACATAAAAAATTAATTCCAACAGCTAATAGCACCCCACCACCACTTTAGGACATTTCACCGTACCCATTTTGTTGTCACAAGGACCCTATGAAGCAGATAGTTTTATCTTCATTATAAAGAAGACTGCAACTTAGAACAACTAAATGATTTAACTAATGGCGCATACCTAGGAAGAAGCGGGGGACATAATGCAAACGAGGGCCTTCCCACTCCAGAAGCCCTTTTCTCAGCATTTCTAGGACTGAGCGGTCAGAACGCCACTTAGCCAATGCGCCAGGAAAGATCGGCATTCCCTTGGCAATAGAGTTCAGAAGCATGGGTAAAAACTACAGTTTGGATGTATCCTCTCGAATCTATAGTCATACTCAGGTAGCTGCGTATTAAAACAGGCAAAGTGGAAACCCAACTTCCCTCCCTTTCTCTTCTGTTGGAGGTGCTGCGCTGAATGTCCAACAGGTTTGCTCTTCTCAGTTCCTCTGCAGGGCATCCTGCCTCTTCTCTCCCTGTCCCCAGGTCCCAATGACTGAAACGTCTCGGGGTGGGAACTTCTGTGACAGATCGGGGAGGATAGGGGGAGTCAACTCCAGCGCAGGCCTCCCACGGCTGAAACTAAAAGATACCCAGTGAAATACAGGAGTTTTGTTCCAAGGGCTGCCCAAAAATGGTGCGGAGAAGAGCTCGGCAATCCCCACCTTCGTCGAACACGCTCCTCCAGGGGCGGCCTGCCTGCAGCAGAGCTCCAAAATTGGCAACCTGGGCCTCGCAGCCGCCTTTTTTTAGCCTACATTTCCCAAACCAGGGAAGAGGCGTGTGACTAAAAATGCAAATTGCAGCGGGGGTGTCAGCAGGCATGCCCGTGGGTGCGGGGCGTCGGGCGAAGGGAGACCCCGCGACCTTAGGCGCCCTCGCGGTGTTCACGGTGGGCGCAAAGCGCAGCGAGGGACGCTCCCCAAAGCCGCACCCCGCCGGGCGGCTGCCCCCGCTTCCGCCTCTCAGGCAGCGGCGGGACAAAGCGCGGCCTCTTTTCCGCCGGGGTTTAGGGAGGGGAGGCCGGATTAGGGCCCGCGCCTTCCGGCCGCGGCCCTCCCGCGCCGAGCTGGCCGCACACAGGTGGTTTTCCGCTCGGGAGGGGCAGGCCTCGGCACTTTTATATAACAATAGAGCTCTGCGCGCCGGGAACGCGCCTCCCCGCCGCCGCGGCCCCCACCCGGCCACGCCTCCATCCGGCTTCCAGTCCGTCCGCCCCGCGGCGCCTGGGCCGAGCGCCGCTCACAGGCCTGGCCGGCACCTCCCCAAAGTTACCTGCTGGCTCTGCAGGGCGGTAGAGACGTTCCCCTCGACTCCTTGGGAGCCAGGAGCCAGGGGGGTCCAGGCAGGCACTCGTCCTTGCTCCCCACACCCGCCCCACATCTTTATGGAACCGGGAGTCCCGCGCTCAGCCCAGTACCCGTCCACTGCATCGCGCACAACCCCCTGCCCGCCAAGCGGGGAGACGGGGACAGCGGGGCGGTGGCAGGGAGCGCAGCGCGCAGGCGCGACTAGTGCTCCCCGGAGTGCCCGGCGCTGGACAAAGGGAGGCGGCGGCGGCAGGAGAAGGCTGGGGAGGCCCCCTCTGACATGCCTCCCTGCCAACTGTAACCAATCGTCAAGCCCCCCTGCTGAGGCCCCGGAGCCTGCAGGCCTTCCCCACTCCTCGCCCATGGCGGGGACTGCCGGCCCGGCCCGGCGCGTCCCAGCACACCTCGCCCAGGCAGCCCCGCCAGACCGGCTCCTCGGTCAGAAGCCGAGCTCCTTGCCCAGAAATCATTAACGAGCGCGACCCCCCAGCAGGCGACGGTGGTGATGGGGTGGGGGGAGAGATTTAGATCCCCGGAACAATGGCTTGTAACTCCCCACGCCGCTGGAGCGGAATACAGTAAAAGCACTGGACTGACCTAAGAGTTTGTTTCTGCACTCTACATTGTTTTAAACAAAATAAAATGTTACTTTAAGAAAAAAGGTTTCCTTCTGATTTTCTGGACAACCAGACGTTTGTTTGTTTGCTTTAAAATGTTTCAACAAAATCCTGGTTTGTTTCGAAATATGTTGGATTAGCATTTAACACCTCATCGGTCACTAAAGCCCAGTCAGTTCACCAGCCCCAACACAGCCTCGGCTAAAAGAACATCAGAGCAAACAGAGCTAGGCCTTTAAAACTGGCAAACAAATGCCACACACCGCCTAAAGAAGGGGGGTTGGGGGAGGGGAGGGTTAAGGCGAACTTGGGTCCAAATGAGTTTGAAGGGAATACAAAGAACAAAAAGTCAGCACAAGTTTTCCGAAAGCTAGCTCGCGAACGCTAGCGTCGCGAACAAGGGCTTTTGTGCATGCTAATTGCGCCATTGGTGCGCAAAAGTTCCGACGCGAAGTGTGAACTCTCAACAGAAGGAAACATGAGACAACTGAAGTGCCCTGGTTTATGTGCCCTGCTCCTCCTCCGCTGCCGCCTCCCCTTCTTTCTCCTTCCTCCCGCCGAGCCCGCTGTTGCAGCTTGTTTGCACTGGGGCTTATCCGGAGCGGAAATTCCTTTCCGTTTTTGTGAATGACAAACTCATTAACAATTCATCAACACAACCTGTTCCAGCCGGCCCGTCCCCACGGCAACAGCCCCTTCCGCAGCACGCTCATTGGCTGGCCCGGAGAATGTATCCATTGAGACGCTCGCTGTTTGTATCCATTGAGGAGCTGCCTCGCGCAGGGGGTGTGCGAGGCTGAGTCCAAGGGATAGTGAGCAAATCGAGTCTTAAATAATCCGGGGAGAAAGACGCCCGGGTAGATTTGAGGTGCAGACTTGGCGGGAGGGATTAGGAGCAGCTAGACTTTTTTTCCTCCCCTCTCAGTAGAACTGAGTCCGAATTAATTGGATTTCATTCACTGGGGAGGAACAAAAACTGTCTGGGCAGTTTCATTGAGAGATTCATTGACACTAACAGCCAGCGGCTGCAGCTGGGTGCAGAAAGAACCTCCGGCTTTACTTCTGTCTCGTCTTCCCCAACCGCTAGCCTCGGCTTGGGTTAGGCTAGGCGGAATTAAACCCCGCTCTGAGAGCGGCAGCTTCACGCGCGGTGCGCTCGGCCTATGCCTGCCCCGAGGGGCGTCTGGTAGGCACCCCGCCCTCTCCCGCAGCTCGACCCCCATGATAGATACGCTCAGACCCGTGCCCTTCGCGTCGGAAATGGCGATCAGCAAGACGGTGGCGTGGCTCAACGAGCAGCTGGAGCTGGGCAACGAGCGGCTGCTGCTGATGGACTGCCGGCCGCAGGAGCTGTACGAGTCGTCGCACATCGAGTCGGCCATCAACGTGGCCATCCCGGGCATCATGCTGCGGCGCCTGCAGAAGGGCAACCTGCCGGTGCGCGCGCTCTTCACGCGCGGCGAGGACCGGGACCGCTTCACCCGGCGCTGCGGCACCGACACAGTGGTGCTCTACGACGAGAGCAGCAGCGACTGGAACGAGAATACGGGCGGCGAGTCAGTGCTAGGGCTGCTGCTCAAGAAGCTCAAGGACGAGGGTTGCCGGGCGTTCTACCTGGAAGGTACGCGCCCGGGGAACTCCGCGCGCGTGGCAGGGCGAGGGGCGCAGGGCTGCGGGCGGGGCGCGTGGACTGAAAATGCCTCTGCTGCGCTCAGCTGGCGCTTCGGAGCCGCGCTGCTAGCCTAGGGGCCGGCAGCCGGCAAGGTATCGGCCGCGAACCGCGCGTTCCGCACCAGAGAACCGGGCCGGCTCAGAATCCACCCGCTTCCGGCTGCGGGTACCGGCGGTTTCATTCTAACGGGTTCTGCGCCTTCTTACCCAGAACATTCTCCTCCATCACCCTATTTTCTATCGTTCGATTTTGAATTAAGATTTGGAGGACGGGAGAGATTGTTGGGGATGCAAATTGGCACATCCTAGCTTTCAAAATATTCCAAAAAGTTGCCATTTTGTGTATTTCCGGATTCAAACGAATAAGGGTTCTCTGGCGAGGCGGGCCCGTTCGTTCCATTCCCGAGGGTGCACATTTAAAGTGTATTTCTATTATTTATGGTTCTGTATGTAGGAGGTTCGTAGGGTGCTTGTGGTGTTTCTTGCGCCGGGCTGCGGTTCTTACAAGCTGTGAAAACTACTACGGCTTCTCGGGTTACACGATTGCTTTTCTCGTTCTGGCAGGTGGCTTCAGTAAGTTCCAAGCCGAGTTCGCCCTGCACTGCGAGACCAATCTAGACGGCTCGTGTAGCAGCAGCTCGCCGCCGTTGCCAGTGCTGGGGCTCGGGGGCCTGCGGATCAGCTCTGACTCTTCCTCGGACATTGAGTCTGACCTTGACCGAGACCCCAATAGTGCAACAGACTCGGATGGCAGTCCGCTGTCCAACAGCCAGCCTTCCTTCCCAGTGGAGATCTTGCCCTTCCTTTACTTGGGTTGTGCCAAAGACTCCACCAACTTGGACGTGTTGGAGGAATTCGGCATCAAGTACATCTTGAACGTCACCCCCAATTTGCCGAATCTCTTTGAGAACGCAGGAGAGTTTAAATACAAGCAAATCCCCATCTCGGATCACTGGAGCCAAAACCTGTCCCAGTTTTTCCCTGAGGCCATTTCTTTCATAGGTGAGACTAATTAATAGTCGTCGTTCTGACATTTAAATGCAGAATTGTTAATCGTTCTTGCTGCTTGCTAATTTGTCGTACTGCAGGTCTCTAATTTTCCTAAAGCGTCCTTAATTCTGGTTTATCTTCTTGCTAAGGGAAGAAAACCTGCCTTTTGATACGGTTGCAGATTACAGGTGTATTTGAAACACTGTTTCTTTGAATCTTTGAATTCAGTCATTTGACAGTCGTTCATAATCGGACAACAGATTTTTCCCACTGTCTTGGACTCAGGGGAAGGGTCAGATAAAAGTATTCACTAAAGACAGAAATTCCAGCATTGCTTTATAATTTAAAAAAACCTAGGAGTTATTTTAGGACGTCAAGTTAGTTGTTGGAAAGCAGTATGAATGCTAAATGTTATCCAGTTGAATGATACTGTGATACTGGTAACAGTGAGACAGTGGGTAACCTGAGCCCAGCAGGAAGAACTGTGGGCTGGAAGCCTGGGAGAAGTGAATCTCCAGGCATTGTAATGCATTTCCTATTACAAAGGAACTCATTTTCAGGCCATGTCGACATCCTGTTCCTCCTAATGGGCCGTCCCCTGTGACTTCCCTCTCTCTTTTAAAATGCCTGAATACCTCCATTGTTAGCTGCACAACATTTGGAGAATAATTTAATAGACCCTTGCAGTCTGGTTGTCTGTATAAAAGGCATTCACGAACATATTGCAGGGTTTCTGGTATTCACATGCTGAGGCAAAGAATGCACCCATTAAGGAGTTTTTTGTTGGCAGAAACTTAATACAAAAGCTCTCTTTTCAGAAAATATCTGAAATATGTAATTGTGTCCAGTGTACATGTTTTATTTCAATAATACATTTTCTGCTGCTTGTAGGGCTCAACTGCCACACACAACTATTATTACTATTATATTTTTAAGTTCAGTTCTTAGACTGATCATTCACAAAGGGTGGTTTTCAGTCTACTGAGATCTTGCTTTTCTTTTTGTGTTCACAGATGAAGCCCGGGGCAAGAACTGTGGTGTCTTGGTACATTGCTTGGCTGGCATTAGCCGCTCAGTCACTGTGACTGTGGCTTACCTTATGCAGAAGCTCAATCTGTCGATGAACGATGCCTATGACATTGTCAAGATGAAGAAATCCAACATATCCCCTAACTTCAACTTCATGGGTCAGCTGCTGGACTTCGAGAGGACACTGGGACTCAGCAGCCCCTGTGACAACCGGGTTCCAGCACAGCAGCTGTATTTTACCACCCCCTCCAACCAGAATGTCTACCAGGTGGACTCCCTGCAATCTACGTGAAAGACCCCACACCCCTCCTTGCTGGAATGTGTCTGGTCCTTCAGCAGTTTCTCTTGGCAGCATCAGCTGGGCTGCTTTCTTTGTGTGTGGCCCCAGGTGTCAAAATGACACCAGCTGTCTGTACTAGACAAGGTTACCAAGTGCGGAATTGGTTAATACTAACAGAGAGATTTGCTCCATTCTCTTTGGAATAACAGGACATGCTGTATAGATACAGGCAGTAGGTTTGCTCTGTATCCATGTGTACAGCCTACCCATGCAGGGACTGGGATTCGAGGACTTCCAGGCGCATAGGGTAGGACCAAATGGTAGGATAGGAGCATGTGTTCTTTAGGGCCTTGTAAGGCTGTTTCCTTTTGCATCTGGAACTGACTATATAATTGTCTTCAATGAAGACTAATTCAATTTTGCATATAGAGGAGCCAAAGAGAGATTTCAGCTCTGTATTTGTGGTATCAGTTTGAAAAAAAATCTGATACTCCATTTGATTATTGTAAATATTTGATCTTAAATCACTTGACAGTGTTTGTTTGAATTGTGTTTGTTTTTTCCTTTGATGGGCTTAAAAGAAATGATCCAAAGGGAGAAAGAGCAGTGTGCCACCTCTTAAAACAAAACAAAAAAATTGTGCTCTTTTCTAATCCAAAGGGTATATTTGCAGCATGCTTGACTTTACCAATTCTGATGACATCTTTATGGACACTATTATCATGAAGACCTTGTTATGGCGAAGTCTTTAGTCTTTTTCATGTATCTTCCTCATGATTTTTTTCTCTTTATGTAGTTTGACTATGCCTTACCTTTGTAAATATTTTGGCTTGTGTTGTCTCAAAGGGGATAATCTTGGAAAGACACCAAATCATGGGCTCACTTTTAAAAAAAAAACAACCCTTCAGCTGTGCTAAACAGTATATTACCTCTGTATAAAATTCTTCAGGGAGTGTCACCTCAAATGCAATACTTTGGGTTGGTTTCTTTCCTTTAAAAAAATTTGTATAAAACTGGAAGTGTGTGTGTGAGCATGGGTACCCATTTGATAGGAGAAATGCATTTGATTGTGAAGAAGGGAGAGTTAAATTGCTCCATTATGTTCGTGGTGTAAAGTTTTGAGCTGGAATTTATTATAAGAATGTAAAACCTTAAATTATTAATAAATAACTATTTTGGCTATTGAGTGTGTATTTTTAAAAAAATCTCAGTTACACCTATGTATGAAGTGACACATTTTAGAGCTTTTTCATTCAGGGATTGATTTTGACTTGTAGGCATAGCAGGGCAAAGTTCTTTTTAAGCTTTTCCTAGAATGTTTTTCAGCAGCAGTTTATGAAATTCATCATTTGTCACAAATAAAGATGACATCCTAGAATGGACTATCATGTATATGAACAATACCTTTTATGAGTATAGTTCAGGCTTAAAATTTTAAAGCCCCAGAAGAAAAATGAATCTATAGAGCATAGCTTGCTGAGGAATAAAATTTGGATATTAACCACAGAGAGGTGTAGCAGAATAACAAGATGACAGCCACATGTTAACCTCCTCTCTATCCTTCACTGTCAGGATCCTGTGCTCCATAATGCTGAGATAATGCCAAGGAGGAAGTAGGGATAATTCCTTTTCCAGTCTGTTGTTACTGGCAATTCTACCTGCAGATATCCTAGTGTGAGAATGATGAATCCAGAATGATGTCTCCATTTTTTTCCCCTAGCATGCGCGTGGCAAGGCATATCTAAGCTTCCTCACTGTGTCAGGATATGGCTTTAGAATTTTACATTGGCACTTAGGAGGCAACTTAGTCATCCCTGTTCTAATGTGCTTTTTTGTTTAACTGGTTTGGGATGTGGGTCAGAAACCCCTATTGAAACTTGTGGGGATTATCTTGAATAGTTTCTTTCCAAGCTAAAGGCTTTATATCTTGTCATTTTTCTTGGGACCTACCCTCTCACCTCAGGTGTAAAAATATACAAACCAAAATAAAAGGCAGGTGTATGGAATCAAGAGAACTAGAACATACCTACATTTGGGGCTCTTTTTGCATGAGCTCAGTCCCTTCATGTGAAGTGGGGAGAAGGATGAGCTTTTCACCCACATGGCACGTGTTAACTGCTTGGTCGTCTACACTTCAGGAGGCAAGCGGCCTTCGTTTGATGGCAATCATATAAAACTGTGATTTTTTAAGCAACTAAGTACAAAAAGCAAACCGAAATAGTGCAAAAAATATATATACCAAGTCAGTCTGTCCTATTTGGGTGTCCCAAGTCAGCAAGAGCACAGAAAGGAGAAGTGGATTGCAGTTCAACTTGGCTTGTGTTAATCCAGTTCTGAACGGTTTCCGCTCCTGGCATTCCCTAAACTGCCTGTTCAAAGTAGGGATTTGCAAGCAGCGTTAGCAATTTCCTGTCCAGCTGCAGCTCAAGTAGCTGGGTGCTTTTTCCCTCCTTTCTTTTCTCTGATTTCTTTTCTTTTTCTTTTTCTTTCTTTCGTTTTTTTTTTTTTTTTAAACTATGGGCTGTGGATAATTTTAGTGCATTTCCTCTTTGTGGATTATTATCTCTTTCCTCCTAGAACCTGTATACATTGAGTTCCTACTGCTTGGCTCAAGCCGACAGCTGGCCTCCCCAGCACTTCCTCTCGTTTCACTGTGGGTTTGTTGTTTGTCAGTCCACTTCTGAAATTAATAATGTTTTCTGGCTAAGTGCCACAAGCCATTACCACAAAGGGGAAGTAACACATATGAATAGCAGGAAGCCATGCAGGGTCACAGTGTGAGCTGAACCTGTGGAGGGAGCATAATTGAGCCTGGCCCATTCAGCAAGTGTCTGACGGCAATTTGGGGAGAGGGAGCTTGCTGCATCTAAGTAGCTCAAGCTGTGAAAAAAACAAAAAAAGTTTCCAATAAATTGGGAGCAAATGGTCTTTGTCACCAGTCTGAATAAAGGAGAGAGAGTATGAAGAGCTTAGAGCCTCCATAAAGTTGCAATGTTTGAGGTTTCTCCCCCTTCTCCTGACATATTGTTTCAGAAGGCTGGTGAACAGAGGGGTGCCTGTTTCCCTCTATTCTCACCAAAGGACTCATGTTAAATGGGTGGTTTTTACGGTTCACATAGGCCAGAAGATTCAAAGAGCTATTCTCTTTCCTTCTTTTTCTTCTGTGGAAGGTGGAAGGTTGTAACTGACAGCATGGGCCCCCACCTCGCTCTGTGCCTCCTTTTCTTCCAGCTATATCAGGGCTCCTCTGGTTCCTTTGTGCTTGCAGTAGCCGCGTGAAGGCGATCATTTTGCATCTTGGAGTTGGGCTGGCTTCCTGAATGGAGCCCGCATGGTTACTAGGGCAACCTTTGCCAGCAGCTGCAGTTCCACCGCCTCCTTCCTCACCTGCTGTCCCCATTAGTAGCTTCCTCAGGTCTCTGAGAAAGCGCTACCTTTCCTGGCCTTTTGCAGGGGCGTTGGGGTGGGGTATGGCTTTTGGGAAGGGGAGGTTATCTGCAGGTTTCCTGGGAGCTGCAGGAGACTTAGAGAAAGCAGTGGTTAATCGTATGAACTGGTCTTAGGGTTAAAATAGGAGTGAAAAAGGGTTATCTGGGGATAAAAATACCAACACAGTCTTCAAAGGAATGAAAACTGAGACTTGCACTGACCTGACAATTAGGAGACCTGAACTGTAGCTCCTGCTTTCTTGCTAATGAATCAGGTAGCCCTGGGCAGGGCACCCAGTCTTACTGCATTTCTTTTTTCTTGTCTATAAAAATGAGGGAGTTTTTGCCTCCCATTCTAGGATTCTCTCGTAATTCTAGCTTCTGTTCATGGATTGGTGGCACTTATTACATGATAAAATGAGGTGCAGAGCAGGTGAAACAAGTAACTAACATTTATCATGAACACCAGATACTATACTTTGTATCTCATTTAATCTTCAAAACAGTTCTGTGAGATAGGTCCTATTATCATCTTTATTTTGCGAAGAGGAAACTGTGGCAGAGAAAGGCTAACAAAGCCTAAAGCCACCTATGGGACACCTGACACATAACATTAGAGAAGGTTTGCATATCCAGTGCTTGTTACTGCGGAACTGAACCTTGAGCCTTTGGCTCTTCCTGTTGGAAATTGCTTGTCATCAGTATTTGCTCCCCTTTATAAAGTCTCATGATGTCGGCTAGGAAATGCTGTCCCCATTATCCAGCTGAGGAAGTGGAGGAAGCAGAGGTTAAATGACTAGCCAAATTCCATGTGAATTCCACAGCCACGTGGGAGGCCCCAGCTGGTGTGCTGTCAGAGAGGTGTCCACCAGGGGTAAACTTCCATCCTCCTTCTCCGCAGAGAATTTGCTCTTCCTTGGTCCTATTGGCACTTAAATTATAAAACGACTTTTCCTAAGAATCTCTAAAATGGCTACCAGCTAGCATAGGACCTGACCCTGACCCTTGCCCATACTCCCCTTTCACGATGACAGAAGTAAACTGGACCCAAAGAAGTTCACTTCCTCACTCTGATTCCACCTAGAGGCAAACTGGGAGAGGGAGGTGGGTCAGGGGAAAGGGGAAGGGTGTGAAGAAGCAAGGAGGAGAGGCAGAAGGCATATATATGGTGCAGGTCTGCAGAAGAAGAGAGGTAAACTGACCAGCAAATTAGCAAATAATGGAGATGGAGGTTTTTAGGACACAGCCAGGGCAGATCATGTGGTAGCTGGCTGTAAGAAAATATCCTTGAAATGTCCTCTTAAAAAAATCAGTCTTCAGACTTTCAGCTGCTTCAAAAGGATTACTTTGGGTGTAAATTTATATGCAGTTCCTCACACAGCCATAATCATTTTCGGAAAGATCCTGCAAGACTTTCAAATACCCTTGTTCCTCCCGTGTTCTCATTGCTCACTTAGCAATTGGCCCTGAATCAGTCCAGTTATGGTGAAAGAATTTTCAAACTTCTTTAAAGTCCAAAATCGATTTCCTGAGAATATTGAAGGGCACAGAACAAAGTTCAAACAACTCACAAATATTTATCCAGGCCTTGGTGTGCATTGCACTGGTTCGATGAAACAAGTTAAAAATAAAAGGCAACGAAAGACCTCACAGGAGCCCGCAGAGGCTGAAGGCAATGACCTGTTTCTAGATGGAACCGCTAAAGTGCCCAAATCAAAGAGGAGCTCTGAAGAAACTACCAGGCAAGCTCTTGTATTTCCCTATCTGCTTCCCCTAATATTTTAGACCCCACATTTTAGTTTTTTACATAGGAAAGGATTAACAGCTCACATGTATGCAATTTGACCCACTCACTTTCTTACTTTGTCATGGAAAACGCCACTAGAGAAAGTGTGCATATCTATTATCTATCACTGATGTAATGAAAACATGTTAAACCACCATACCTTCAAACAGGAACTCTCAGACACTCAAAGGAAAAGTGAGGAAATATCATTCACTTTTTGATAGTGACATCCGAGAAAGCACGAAGCAAGTCTGGAAAAGGTTGCTAATTCTAAAGAATTCTGTTTCCTATTTTTGGAGAAAATCTAAGTATTTATCACACTAAGTATTTTTCACTGGGTCCAGTTTAATTCCTATTGCAAATATGAACAGAAGGAGGAAAGAAAGAGTGGAAGGAGCGGCAGGTGGTCTTCGGGTGTACCTAGCTCTCTGAAAAATCGTAGCAGGAATGTCCTTTTATCTTATGTTCCATTTATTTATTGCTACATTACAAAGTGCCCCAAAACTTAGTAGCTTCAAACAACAGTCATTTATTTTGTTCCTAAGTCTGCATTTGGTCAGGGCTCAGCAGGGGAGGCTGGCCTCTCATCAGTGCAGTTTTGTCAGGGACAGTTCAACTACTGGCCAGAGGATTCATTTCTAAGATAGTTCATTCACTTTGCTGGCGAGTTGGTTTTGGCTTTGGCTGCCCATTGGGACTTCTGCCAGGGGCCAGGGCTGGGGACTTTGGTTCTCCATGTGGCCTAAATTTCCACATAGTATGGTGGCTGGGTTCCATGGGTGAAATACCCAGAGAGAGAGAGAGAGAGCCTGGTAGAAACTATACTGATTTTTATGACCTGTTCAGAGGTCACTTCTGCTGCATGCAAAATTTTAGGCGACAGGACGTAAAAATCCACCTTTTAATGGAGGAGAGGAAAAATTCTGAAAAAGCACAAGAGATGGAAAATATTGTTGCAGTCATTCTTGGAAA